CTCTATGCTATTATCATCTCCTTACGGGCGAGAACGCCATCATTGTCGCCATGGGAGCGAGCGCTACATCATGATCATCCCACCGCCACTGACCTACCCACCTCTACGGAGAGCCAGACAAACTGCAGGTACCCCGCCAAACACATGTGACGTCACAAGCATAAAAATAAAAATGTGAATATGTCCAAGAATAGGGAGCTTATACTTTACTAAAGAGCGCAGCCCTTAAACTATTTCTACCATCTCCTTGATTTGTTTCCGTTTCTACCGGACCCAGAAAAGGGTCTCCATGCCTCGCCCGGGAGGTCCGGTCTGTTAGGATCAATCTGATCACTTCCAGTTGAGTGTGTAATTGCATTACCTGAATTTATATACGCACCTTGAACTATTTTGACTACTTGTATGTTACGGTATAATAAACACTTCCAAACTGTACGTCAAACTAAACTAACGTGTTTCTCTGTTGTGCTCCGCTCGTATCCCTGCTCGAAACTTCTCAGGTTATGGGCCCAGCGCTACGCCTGAAGCTGCAAAAGTGATCGTCGCGAAAGAACGTGTTTCGTCCGGTCGAGTGAACGGGATTTTCGTTTCGGTCGAGTGAGAGTGTTTTTCCACGATGGAAGCAACAATCAATACGAAACTAACGATTTTAAATTGGCTCACTACTTGACTAGCCTATTGGTCCCAAGCAAACGATTAGCGTACCCCATTCTAGTCGAAATTCTAGTACTACGCAATGTTTGTTTTGATTCGCTATGAAAGTTTGACAGATAAAATGAGGGGTTAGTGAATTTTCCTATGTTTCGAGGGGTGAATCGATTAGCTTGGGACCGAAGAGAGTACCAGAGCTGAGCCAAAAAGTTGAGCACGTTATTTTGGGACCTTCTAGTCTTAGAGTTACCTCTATGATGGAAGTGAACAGAAAAGTGTACCTCTTTGACGGGACCTATTTTGACAATTGAAGTTTCCGAATTGAGGCCCACTTGGAGGAGCTGGGGCTCCTTTCGTGCATCAAACAGGCGGCAGAAGATGTACCGGAATATCGTGTGCTTGCCGCAGACGCAGCTGAGGTTAAATTGCAGTAGGGAGAAATGACTGGCGGAAAGATGAGTGAATGAGTTGAAGTGTAAGTCGGTCCTGATTGGGAACATAGTGGATTCGCAGCTTGAGTACGTCAAGCAGAAGCGATCGCCAGTGGAAAACTGGACGGCGCTGCAAAATGCATTCGCTCTGAAGAGAATTTCGGGCCAGTTCTTCCTGCTCAAGAAGCTGTCGGCAATGAAGTACGATGATAGAGGATCTTCGGAAGAGCATCTGCTAGTGTTTGACAGAATAGTGCGCGATTTGCAATCGGCGTTTGTTTCCTATCTATCTGCTCCAAGCAATGCCGCAGTCGTACGGTCAGCTTGTGACAGTCCTCGAGAAACTCTCCGATGATCAGTGTACGCTCAATTTTGTACGGGCTCGTTTGTTGAACGAGAGTGTGAAGCGTTCGAACAGTGACGATGTGGGGGTGGAAAATGAGTCCTCCGCTTTCACCGGTAAATCGTTCGGAAAAAGTGACCGAGAGAAAAGCAAGCTGAAATGTTATTCGTGCGGAAAGCTCGGACACAAGCTGGAGTCTCGCAGCAAGTCCTGCTTCTTTGTTGGATACGGAGTGAATGGCTATCGGTTGTGGGACGGGCGGAAGATATTCATTACCCGTGACGTAGCTGCTGATGAATCTGCTAAGCTGTTAAGTGAAGGAGGTGATACTTCCAACAATCAATACGAAACTAACGATTTTAAATTGGCTCACTACTTGACTAGCCTATTGGTCCCAAGCAAACGATTAACTTACCCCATTATAGTCGAAATTCTAGTACTACGCAATGTTTGTTTTGATTCGCTATGAAAGTTTGACAGATAAAATGAGAGGTTATTGGTTTTTCTTATGTTTCGAGGGGTGAATCGATTAGCTTGGGACCGAAGAGAGTACCAGAGCAGAGCCAAAAAGTTGAGCACGTTATTTCGGGACCTTCTAGTCTTAGAGTTACCTCTATGATACTTCTGTTGAGGAGCAGGGTTCCGGAACCGTTGAGTTAGCCGGGCCATCACGATTGGCCACTATGGATTCAGAGGCTCCTGCGCCGAATTAAAATTCTGGACCTATGCCGGATGGTGTGAATCCGGAGATTGCTGAGCTGGATGATGATGCTGAGATGCTTGAGGCCAGTGCAGATAAGGAATTCGGTGATTGCGAAGGTGATAGTGAACTTAAAGAGATAGATCCTCTGGAAATCCGCCGGAGTGAGCGACTGCAAGACTATTCTTGCATCGTTTTTACCCTCAATGCGGAGAGTTTCGTTGACAACCTTCCAACCACAATCGAGGAACTACGAAAGCGGGATGATTGGCCCGAGTGGAAAGTAGCCGTCGACGATGAACTCAAATCCTTGGCCGATAACGAGACTTGGCATCTGGTAGATCTACAAAAGGCCGGAGGCCAGTTGCTTGCAAGTGGGTGTTCCGTCTGAAAACCAACCCGGATGGTTCGATTCACAAGAGGAGGGCTAGGTTGCTCGCCAAGGGGTTTACCCAGCGCTATGGCTACGACTTTCACGAAACGTATGCACCTGTGATCAAGATATCGACCGTGCGGGTTATGCTGGCGTTAGCTAACCACCACGGCTTTGTAGTTCGTCAGATGGACGTAAAAGCAGCGTTTCTAAACGGGGTTCTCACTGAGGACATTACATGCGTCAGCCCGGAGGAATTGAGGAGAGGGAGAAAGTATGTAAACTCAGCAAATCAATCTATGGGCTGAAGCAGTCTTGGTGAAGCAGATTGGATTCCGGCGCTGTGTGCAAGATAGCTGTTTGTACGTTCGCCAAGGGAAGCCCGGCCCCGTGTACCGTGTGTTGTACGGTGTGGATGACTCTCTCATTATGTCAAAGAATCTGCAGGAAGTTGAAGCGATTAAGCGGTTGCTGCTACGAGAGTTTCGCATGGAAGATCTGGGTGAAGCTCAGATGTTTTTAAGGTATCCTGATCGAGCGAGATGTCAAAAATGGGGTCATGAATCTGAGTCAGCCATGCTACACCGAGGCGATTCTTAAGCGTTTCGGTATGTAGGCCTGCAAGCCGGCGTCCACGCCCATGGCAACCAACTTGCAGCTGCAGCGGTCACCGGAAGAGGCGAAACTTGAGAAACCCTACCGCGAGTTAATAGGTTGCCTTACATACCCAATGGTAACCACACGTCCTTGTATCAGTGCTACAGTATCATACTTCAGCCAGTTTCAGTGCAATCCTTTCCAGGAACACTGGTCCCATGTCAAAAGAATACTACGATTCTTGAGAGGAACGACGCAACACGGCATCGGCAAAGCAGATAACTGGTTTCGCAGACGCAAATTGGGCAACCGACCCCAGTGATCGCCACTCTGTCTCGGGGTATGTATTCCAGACAAATGGAGCTACCACATCTTGGAGTACTCGCAAGCAAAGAACCAGATGCTATGATTTACATCCAAAAATAAGTTTACAGTACGCAACGACGAAAACATGACGGTTGAGTACTTTTAACTGAAAATTGAATTGTTTTTACTTCGAATCGTAGCGTGATTTAATTATAGAAATATATTGAAAAATGTTTCAAGATATTCTTGTTACTTATTTTATGCAACACTATTAACAAACATGTCACTTTTCAACAAATACGGAATGTACTATATCAATCGGTAGTGGAAAATATTACGTTTTGAGCTTAAATTTAAGTTCATCTATTAAATATTACTCAATAGATCAGTAAATGGTTCAAACACCACTTTTCTGATTCACACAATGGTGGACCTCAAAAGATAAAACCCAACGGTGAGTTTTTTGACGTAGGACTACGTCTGTGATTTCTATATGAGGGTACATTTTGTGAAAACAGAAAATGGAACATGTAACAAAATTTTGAAAGATTTTGAACGTCAATAATTCAGCTGCCCCTGGATCAATTTCAATTATTTTATCACCATTCGGTCAGAAATATTTCTGCGCATCTGTTAAATTTAAGACTCTATTATTTTTCAAAATGCCACTATCGAAAATTGCATGAATGTGCAACTGTTGCTACGATAATTAAAATTATCACCGATTGCCTGCGAAAAGCGATTTCCCTAACACAGATTTCAAAGTTGAATTCCTTTCGGTCTCACCAAACGGTGTTTATTCAATCACCGCGTGGTGAGTGGTGGTGTTCTCCGGTATACAACGGAAGGCTCCCCGCAAGCAGCTGACTATTAAAGCCGAGATCAAGACTGCCCTCAACCGCTGCTTGGATTCAGTTCCAATCACCGTGTGTGGTGGTGTCCGGTCGTCGGCATCAGCAGCAGTAGTGCTTTCGGCGCGTGGTGTTGAACATTGTTCTCCAGTACACAACGAAAGGCTGCCTGCAACCAGCGAGCTACAGCCCACATGAGCATCCAACGGAAGGAGGAAGAAGCCGCACCGCTATTGATCGGAATCAGTAGCTCTCCGCGAGTCGCTGTGTCCATCTATGTCCTCTATTCCTACATAAAACACAAGCTCCTGCTGCAGTTAAGTAATAAGATTTATTATATAAGACAACGTAGTCCTGCGTCACCATTGCATACAACCCCATAGGGTTGTTCTTTGTAGTTTTTAAACTTAATTTTGAGTATTTTTTTTCTTACCGCGTACAAAGTATGGTTTTGAAACAATCAACTACTAACCGTTTGAATCTCATTCCTGAATTCGTACTTCTTAGAACATTGCCGCAAATTAGCGTATTCTGAACTTGTTCCAGTCGAAAGACCACGAAAATCTCTCGAATCCACTGAAAAACTCAATATGATCAGATTAACTGCTGAGGACCAGCTTTATCCATCCGTTTTCCGGCCCACTGTAGTCTGCCCTATTTTATCAGTTTCACAATATCCCCTACCTCACCTGCCAGCAATATGTATTCGATCAAATTCTAATTCTAATCCTCCACCCACCATTCACAGAGCCCTCACCAACGATGACGAGTACATGTATGACGACACCCCCAAAGCGATGGAGCAAATCCTGACGGAGATCCGTAGCCATATGCAGGACTACTCGGTTGCAGCCTACATCGTACCCTCGGTCGATGCCCATAACGTAACATGCTGCACCTCTAAATATCCATTCAAATCCATTCTCTTAAAACCCTCTTCATCCACGCAGAGCGAATACATCTCCCAGCACGACCGTCGCTACCAGTACGTCACCAACTTCACCGGCTCGGCCGGCACGGCCATCATCACGCTGGAGAAGGCACTCATCTGGACCGACTCGCGGTACCATCTGCAAGCGGAGAACCAACTGGACTTCACCTACTGGACCCTGATGAAGGAAGGCGTCCCTGGAGTGCCAACCCGCGACCAGTGGCTGCTGGATAATCTTCCCTCGGGATCTCAGATCGGAACTGATCCCTTTCTGATCGCGTCCACCGAGTTCGATCGCCTGGGGAGGGTTCTCTATGCCGGGGGTCATCGTCTGATTACGCTGGAGCGCAATCTGGTGGATATCGTGTGGAACAATCGACCGCCGCAGACCAACGGACCGCTGATCCCGTTAGATGTGAAGTACTCGGGTATGGTTTGGAGATTGATCTGTCACAATCAAATTAATGCCGACATAACTGTTTATTCTAGGAAAACGAGCTTCCGCGAAAATTGCCGAACTTCGTGAGAGCCTCGATACCCACAAAGCCACGGCGATCGTGATCAACGGCCTGGATGAAATCGCATGTATGTAAATATGATCTCCCACTCAAAACCTCACCGATCAAATTTATTTTCTCCCAGGGCTTCTTAACCTTCGGGGATCGGACATCCGCTACAATCCTATCTTTTTCGGCTACGTGATCGTTTCTCGTGGTCAGATTCTGCTATTCACCAATCCGGACCGGATCAACGAAACCATCCAAGAGCACTTCCGTTCGGAAGGAATCACCGTTATCGTTCGGGAATATGGACAAATTCTCGCCGGAATCAAAGATCTGACCGATGATGGCGATAAACTGATCGTGTCCACTTCCTGCAGTCAGGCGATCTACGCCCAGGTTCCAGCTGATCAACGAATTCAAGTTTACAGCATCGTTGCTACGACGAAAGCTGTCAAGAACTCCGTAGAAGCAGAAGGCATGCGAAAGGCTCACATCCGGGACGGTGCAGCCGTCGTTCGGTACCTTCACTGGCTCGAAGAAAACATAACGGAGAACATAACGGAGCTGTCGGGTGCAGCGCAGCTCCGTGAGTTCCGAAGCATGCAAGAGAATTTCGTGGATTTAAGTTTCACCGCGATCAGTGCCTTTGGTCCTAATGGAGCCATCGTCCACTACAGTCCCACCGAAGAGACGGACACTCTGATCACTCGGGACAACGTCTACCTGATCGATTCCGGTGGTCAGTACTGGGACGGAACGACGGACATCACCCGTTCGGTGCACATGGGTGAACCGACAGCCTTCCAGAAGGAAGCTTTCACTAGAGTTTTGAAAGGTTTCCTCAGCCTTGGATCGGCGGTCTTTCCGACAAAGACCTCCGGAACGTTCTTCGATGCCATGGCTCGCCGGGCACTGTGGGACGTGGGATTGGACTACGGCCACGGAACCGGTCATGGAATTGGATCCTTCCTGGGGGTTCACGAATATCCGCCTTCGATCGTGTCCAATTCGGCGTCACCAAGCAATCAAGGACTTCAGGAGAACATGTTCACCTCGAATGAACCGGGATACTACGAAGCCAACGAGTTCGGGATCCGTCTGGAAGACATTGTCCAAGTGGTGAAGGCTAACGTAGCACACGACTTTCAAGGCCGTGGAGCGTTGACTTTCTACACCAATACGGTGGCTCCGCTGCAGACAAAGCTGATGGATGTTACGCTGATGAGTGATCGCGAAGTGGAACTGGTCAACAACTATCACGAAAGGGTTCTGAGGGAGGTTGGAGCACTTCTTTTGGAACAGCAAGCGGACGATGCCTATGTTTGGCTCGGCAAGCAGACGCAACCGATAGCGAAGTCGTAGTATGAAGTAAATGCGTTTCGAAACCGATTGAGACTCATTTTGATTTTGAGAACATCCGTGAAAATTGTTGGTGAAAAGCCCCATTCTAGTACTACACAATGTTTGTTTTGATTCGCTATGAAATTTCGACAGATAAAATGAGGGGTTCGTGGATTTTCCTATGTTTCGAGGGGTGCATCGATTAGCTTGGGACCGAAGATAGTAGCAGTGCTGAGCCAAAAAGTTGAGCACGTTTCTTCGCGACCTTCTGGTCTTAGAGTTAGCTTCTCTTCATTCTCATTGGAGCGTTTGCAGATCGGGAGGTGGAAGAGGAAGTGGAAGCCATCAAATGTATGCGGAGTTCAACCTGTCTACCAGATTCCGGCTCGAGGTCTCGTTGACCTGCTGATAACTTGCAGATGTACTACCAATTTGTCACTTTGATGGGCGAGAATTCAATCCCACAATGCAGGAGCAACTTTCTCGAGCCAGTTTTTAATAAAACCTCAAATCAAATTTTCAGTAATGAGCAAGGCCTTACAGTTAACCGTGTTGACAGTGATCCTCGAAACCGGTTTGTCGTGCTTTACTAGCTTAACTTTTGAGTAAATAAAGTATTCAATCGAGTAGTCAACCTTAGCAACGATTTGCAAAACGTCTACACTCAGCAGTGATGCCGTTTTATATTATATTGTTGGTGTCCTACTTGTCAAAATGTGCTCTATCGTGCCAAACAGTGTGTCAGCACAGTGTGCAGAGTTGATTACATATTGGGGGTGCAATTTCTAAAAACAAATATCGAGCGCGTTACGAAAACTGGTCAGGTTTTGACCACTTATAACTTTGTCAATAGCGGATGAATTTTAATTCTAAACTAGCCAATAGATTGGAAATTTTTCTACGAATCTGCTAAAATTAACACTTTTTCACTGTTGAAAATGACACAAATGTTTGATATTCTAATTTAATACTTGCATTTTCTATCTAGTTTACAGAATAGTTTCGTTTTAATTGAACAATGTGAAAACCTACATAGATCGCGTATGATCTAAGGATCTGATCTCAGACAGGTGTCTCAGGAGCTTTCCAAGAAGACCGTTCTTCGCTCTTCCAGAGACTGAAGACCACCCAGGCGGTTGACCTCAGAATTTTGCGTCCGTGGAGGACAGTTTAGCATCATTCTAAGAATCTTCTTGTGAATCCTTTGGATCCATACCGTACTCGATTACGGGAAGGATGATTTGCTTGTAGACAGCAAGCTTATTTTTCTGGGGTAGGGTTGCACTGGTGTTAGTTTTGTCAATGTGCTCTCTGAAAAGAAGCTTGCTGTCTAGTGTTAGTTCGAGATACACAACATCTTTGGACCATTCCACTACTGAGCCGTTCAAGCAGATCTTATTATTTTCGACGGAACAAGTCTTGGTGATTGGGAATGTGGGAATATGATGACCTGGGTCTTCGCCGCGTTGATATGGATCTTCCAGTTGTTGAAATCCTCAGACAGGACATCCAAACCTCTCTGAAGTTTGGCAGGAAAAGCTCCAATGAACCTACCCTTGTAGACGATGGATGTGTTGTCTGCGAACAGCATCAGGGAGAGCCGGAATATCGGAGGTGAATAGATTGAACAGGATGGGCACACCTGCACCGATGTTAAAGGCGTCCGATGTGATGCCATTGAGAGAGACCTGGAACGTTCTGCCTGATAAATAATGTTGTATGATCTTCACGAGGAAGATCGGAAGACCGTATCGATGCAACTTGTACATCAGGCCATCATGCCAAACTGCTCCTCGAGTAAGATGTTGTTTTCTTCGGCAGATGTTAGAAACTGGCTGTAAACTGCCCTTTAGAACAGCTTGGATAAGCCTGAGAGAAGACTGATGGGTCGGTAACTTGAAGGAGAGGAGGGATCCTTCAAAGGTTTCCGGATGGGCATGTCTTCATCTAACTTCCAGCACGAGGGTAAGCAGTCAAGCCAGGTAATCATAGAATCTAGAACTCAAATGTTTGAGTTCCAGATTGAGGATGTTGTCGAAACCAGGGGCCTTCATATTTTTGGATGATTTGATATAGGCCAAGGAATCAGGAAAGATGTTGGGAGTCTGATAGAGGTTGACTGCGTTTTCAGCAACCGCAGCCTCGTGTGGACTTATGTTGTATGTGTGGACAGCCTTCTCTACAGGGTATGTCAGATGAACCACTAGCAAGGTCGTTATTTCTGAGATCCACCATCCTGGCTTGGATAATTTTGGTAAGGCTATTGCAATTAGTCTTAGGTCCGGGCTGAGTCCCCCTCGGTCCAAGCTGAGTTCCTGGTAGGTGATAGGTTGAGCCCATGTTGCTGATGAAGGTATCGATGATAGCGTGAACACCGGACCGACTCAACCGGGTGGGAGTGTCCGCACTCAAGAGAAGTATTCCCGCCGTCGTGTTAGCTTGACAAGATCTCTTCGAAGATCTGCTGCCGACCCATCTCTGATGTTGACTTGTTTGGGGCAATATACCGCGACGATGTTGATGGGGCCGACAGGAATAGAAACTCTTCAGCTGGAAGCTCGACAGCAGCCGATGTTCCTCCGTTAATCTCGGGCTTCAGGTACGTTTCGGTGATGATGGCGATATCGATGTTTCGTTTGTTGAGTTCAACGAACTCGATGCTCTTGCTCCTGATCGAGCAAGCGTTCCAATTGGCAATTTTGATAACTTCCCAGTCCATACTTATTGATGAGGGATACTGCAGCATGAAGCTGTTCTGTCACGAGTGTATCAAGTTCCGTCGATGCAAGCAGAGTGTCTGCATTCTCAATCGCTGATAAAGGAGGAGCACCTAAATGCTGCCACGATAGCCCTGGAGGTGGAGAGGTACTTCGGTTACCACATATGACTGACGACTTATGTACCCCAGCTGTTTGCGGGACCGATGCAGCATGCAGTTCGCACATTGGGGACATCACGGTGGACTGGCTTACACTGTTTCCAAATCACCACGATGTGGAAAAGGGCCCGAATGCTCTGGAGGTCCTTCAAGCATGTTGAATTTCTTTACAGGTGGACCAGACACAGCTGGTCACGGTACTTACTTGAAGCGTCATGACGATTCATATTGAAGATTTGGATCGGCTTGAGTTCATGATGCTTCAATTCACGCGACAGTGTGACTGTTTCATGTCGAGAAGGCCACGCAAGATCACCTTGTGCGGCTTGGTTGCCTCAATATCGTGGGAGAAATACTCCACGTTTTTCAGTTTCAGCAACGCCTCGACGGGCTTGTAGTGGTTCATCGATGGAACCATCAGCTTGATGTCTCCAGTACACATGCGCATGGTGTACTTGACCATTATCGATGTAAAAGTCGAGTTTCTCCCGCAACCCTTCCGGGAATCCTTTTACGAAGAACGGTGGAACTTTTTCCTTCTTTTCCACCTTCGATTCATCGCCGTTTTCCAGGATGGTGTAACGATTGTTGGCCAACTGCTTCTTCGATGCGAATTGTGCACTGGCGGTGTCCGATCGGGATCAATCGACACCACAAAAAAGGAGTGCGAACAGTATCGAAACGAACGTAGCGAACAACTCGAGAGAGCGAGAAGAAACTGACCTGTACTGCTTGACGGTCAAGCAGAAAATGATGCGTGATGCTTCCTCCCAATACTCCACCTTATATGAGAATGTTAAAAAAACCTACGAACACTGAATCCGCTTCATCTTCAATCCTGGTACGCATCGTGCAAGGCACTATGGAAACCTTCGATCGCTCCGGACCCGTTGCTGGATTAAGAGTCCAGTCTGCTCCAACAGGGAACTATGTTCCCGAGTATGTTCCCTCATAGTCCAGCAACGGGAAACTCGTTCCAATTAGGACTATAGAGGAAGTTCATGACTTACACATCTACTATCAAAATATGTATGGACTACGGACCAAGGTGGATTCGTTGTATTTGGCCGCTAGCGAGTGTGATTGGGACGGTGAGGTGGAAGTGTATTGATCGCTGTGTCTACCCGTAGGAACACTTTCATCGATCCAACACCCATTTGTAATACTCTGGAGCAGCTGTGGGTTAGAATCACTATTCCGAGTTCATGGCACCACGATCTCAGAACCGCCAACGAATTAGGGAACTATTTCGTCGGTTTGTCTGCTGTCCGTGACTACGACAGCGAATTCATCCAGCGCGTCAACCCCTCCACAAGCAGCATTCGTGATTTACGAATTCCTCCCGATGTTCCTTCCCTCCAAATCAACGAAGTTTTTACCTTCCGGGAACTTCAGTTTGCCCTCGGCAGCAGTAGCGGTAAATCTTCCACGCCGGACAAGATTGGATACCCGTTGTTAAAAAACCTCTCTCTCGTCGGAAAAGCGAGGCTTATCACCCTCTTCAACGATCTATGGCGCACCGACTCGTACCCGGACCTCTGGAAACAAAGCTTGGTAGTGCCCATCCCAAATAACAACGCGGCGGGTGGAGAAGCCTCCTCCTTTAGGCCGATTGCGCTCACTTGCTGCATGGCAAAAGTGATGGAGAGAATAGTAAATCTTCGCCTCAAGCAGTTTCTGGAGTCAAACGGTCTCCTTGACGAACGGCGACACGGTTCCTCTACTTACTTTACGGCTCTCGGAAAAGTACTTAAGGTAGCCCATGACAAAGGTCACTACGCGGAGTTAGTCTCCCTTGATATTTCAAAGGCGTTCAACAGGACGTGGACACCTGGCGTCATCAGGCAGCTCATTGGCTGGGGCCGGGAAGGTCACATCACACATTTTGTACGCAATTTCCTTCTTGATCGTACTTTCCAGGTGACTGTCGGGAACACTACCTCGGATCCGTTTTCCGAGCAAACTGGGTTCCCCAGGGTTCCGTCATAGCGATAATGCTAGTCCTGGTGGCAATGAACCGACTGCCAAAGAACGTGCACGTAATCGTTTATTTCGATGACATACTCATCGTCGCGGACTAAGCGGACCAGGAATATAGCCCAAGCAGCAGTCTCCGCCGTCATCAGGTGGGTGTTTTCGATTGGCTCCCAGCTCTCCGCGCCGAAGAGTGTACGGTGCCATATCTGCCGCTCGGACCATCTGATTCGGGGACCACCGATCACCATCCAAGATCATCCGATTCCGCTCAAGAAAACAGTGCGTGTTCTGGGGGTAGTTCTGGATAGCACCCTAAGCTTCGATCAGCACTTCAGGATGTTGAAAGAAAACTGTCATAGCCGCATCAACATCGTCAGGACAATCTCCCGCCCGCACCACTCCAGCAACTGTGAGATCCGCCTTCGTATCGCCCGGGCTTTTATTGACAGTCGATTTTTCTACGGCCTCGAAATAACCTGCTTAGCCACCGAGGATCTCAACCGCATCCTCGCTTCGGTATAAAATACCTACGTACGAATCGTATCCGGCCTCCTCCCTTCCACGCCTGCAGATGCCACATGTGTGGAAATCGGAATCCTCTCTTTACGCTATCGATCTGCTGCAGCCATTACCACGAAAACCGCTGCCCTTGCCGCTAAGACATCCGGGAACGATAGGGAATTTCTCTTCAATGAAGGGAACATAGCCCTCCGCACTTCAGTCAACCTTGACCTCCCCCCGGTGGCCAGGGTCCACTGGCATGGAGAGAAGAGTTGGCGATAAAACGTTATCAAAATAGATAAGCGGATTAAAAGTGGATTCCAAGCCGGAGATAACTCCGCAGCGTTGAGGCGTTCTGTTGCAGAGCTTCTCGGGTCGGTCATCCGGGGCACGTTCATCGCTTTACAGACGGATCGCGGTCGCAGGCTGGAGTTGGACTCGGAGTGGCAGGACCGAACACTGCAATAATTCAAAGTCTACCGGAGGTATGTTCCGTCTTTTCTGCGGAAGCCGCAGCCATCCTAGATGCAGCCATCACTCCGGTAGTTCGACGGTACGTCACACCTTCAACCGTCTTTACGTTGATTCCTGGAAACGAGGCTGCGGACAGACTGGCGGGATCTGGTCCATTTGGTCCCCGCTACACCAGGAACGTTCCCCTCTTAGACGTCAGGCGTTGGATTACGAACACAATCATGGAAGCCTGGCAGCAGGAATGGCTCCAGTTGCGGACCACTTTCCTGAGGAAGATCAAGAATACCGTAAGACCCTGGCTGTCGCCGCGAGGGTAACTGCATCTCACAAGCGAGATTGCCAGCACACCTGGCACCGACGGTTTGGACACCGGGAAGATGATGCGTTGGATGTTCTGCTGAAAAGAAGCTTGTTACCGGTATGAAAGATGCAGATTGTGGAAGGTTGCAAATGCTTTGTGTGAAAGGAAAGCAGGGTCGAACTCCTTTCCCCAAGATTTCCGGACCATTAGACCTCATCCACTCGGACGTGTATGGACCACTGGAGACACCCTCGGTGAGTGGATATCGTTATTTTGTATCTTTAGTAGACGATTATAGTCGCTACTGTATAACGCATAGTGGAATACTGTAATTATGTCCACACGCAGTTCGGGAAGTACCCCAAGCGCATCAGGTCTGATCGGGGAGGGGAGTATTCGAGCGAAGTACTGCTGGAGTTCTACCGCAAGCATGGAATCCGCCCCGAGCTTACTGCCGGATATTCGCAACAGCAGAACGGAGTGGCGAAGAGACGAAATCGATACATCATTGAAATGTGTCGGTGCATGCTAATGGACGCCAGGATGTCTGCACGATTTTGGGCTGAAGCAACCGCTACGGCCGTGTACCTACAGAACCACCTACCTTCTCCCGCTGTGGAGATTACACCATACGAGCTTTGGTGGGGACGTAAACCGAACGTTTCACAACTGAAAGTGTTTAGATGCAGAGCATTTGTCTGCATGTGCCGAAGGAAAAGCGAAGCAAACTCCAGGATAAGTCGAAGCCACTAACAAGCTGATCATCAGTCGAGACGTTCGTTTCTTTGAGGAGTTGGTCCAACCCGGTACCGATGTTCCTAATCTGGAGGAGGAGTCGTACGAGGAAATTCTACAGCCGTTACCTCCTATGGCTGAAGCAAATCAAGAAGTTCCGGATCCAAACGATCCAGAGATTAACGAAGAAAATGACGATGGAAGGTCGGACGTAACCGACACGGATTTCGATTCTTGTGACGAGTCCCTTCATGAAGATTTGGATAAAAATATCGTACGAAGATCAGAGCGGTCCAACAAAGGTGTCGCCCCACAGCGGTACCATGAAGCAAGCAACATGGCAACAGCTACTGAACCGAGGACGTATGAAGAAGCAGTAAGCGGACAAGAGAGCGAATCGTGGATAGCTGCGCTGGAAGAAGAGATCCAATCCCTTCAAGATAACTCGACATGAACAGTTGAAGCCCTTCCAGATGGACGAAAGGCGGTCGGCTGCAAATGGCTGTACAAGCGGAAATTGGACGAGCATGGTAACGTGACACGCTACAAGGCGAGACTGGTCGCACAAGGTTTTAGTCCAAGGGGTAAGATAGCTCCTAATCATGAGCAATATTAGAGTTGCTTTTGAGGCACCTCGAGTAACTCACATTGCTCAGTGAGCAAGATCACTGTCATTTGCAATCTCACTTTTCACATCACAGCAACATATGAATATGCGAAGCCGAAAAGCTGCTGTCCAGCAAAACAACAACAAACAACCGGCTTGATGTGGTAGAAAAACTCGACCCGCCTGACCAAATACTCCAGATCCGGCAAATTATACGTACCCCGCCGTTCTCCGATACTCGTCGAAGTGATCCCGTACCCATCGCTCAACAACCTGCCGTTTTCTGCGATACACCACCGAGATTCTGCTGCGGCCGTCGAAGGAAGTCTCCGTTGAAGTTGAACATGACTTCTTTAAAGAAAATAGTTCATCCAGAAAGAAAAAGGTTGATTTATTCTTAAACTATTGTTCATTATATTCGGAGCATGTTTCGCTCTTCGGTTTCTCGTCAGCAAAGTCCATAGCGATGATCCTGTACTTGGTTGGATCGGATTTACTCTTGAGAATCTTCAGATCGCCAAGAACCCTTTCTTTCCACTCTTTCTGAACCATCTGCAGTAGCTTGGAGCGAACGCAGAACATTGGTTCTTCGTCTTCCTCACCGGTTGTCACTTCGATTTCGACGGTTAGATCGATGATGGGTTTGAAGTCCGGATGAGGATCGTACTCACCGGAAATACTGGGAGCTGTGTCTTCATCGTCTTCCTCATCTTCGACTTCAGCAGTGTCGACTGTGTTGATGCTCCGGCTGAACATTCTGGGGTAGTGGTTGACAGGGTTTCCTTCGGAGCTCGAATTGGGAATAGGATGTTAATCGGTTTTTTATCCAACAGGGAAGATATTTCCTATGTATCCCAGTGATTTCCCATAACGATTTCATGTTCTCCTCGGTGGACATCTGGAAACGATTCCTGTGGTTATTTTACGAGAACAAATCCACCTACCTAAAGTTAATTCACATTCAACGTTTTGAAACGGAGGAATACGAACAAAAAGCACTTCCAAAACAATAACAGCAGCAACAGCAGCCAATTGGCACAGAGAAGCAGATTAAAATCCACGCCAATGCGGCCCCCTTTCGACGCTTTTCCAGCATCGTTAAAGCCATTTTCTGAACAAAATCTGGAATTCACATGAAACGATCTGGAATTCATCAGATTTTGTTCAGAAAATAGCCGAACAATTCTATTTTGTTTACAAACAAGACTAACGTCTAATATGTGAAAGGGATAAGTGGAGTAAGCCAAGGAGTAACCAGACAAAAACATCGATGAACGTCGACTAAATTTTGAGGTACAGTGAGTTACTCGCTGCAAAAAAAGCAACTCAGAGTAAAGCTGTCTCACCCCTTGTTTTAGTCAGAAGTTCGGCACTGACTATGACCAGGTGTTCGCTCCGCAAAGAACGTAAGGACCAACGGTGAGAAGCAAGCGTTCATCCTGCTGTACGTCGACGATATGCTCATCGTGTGTGAGACCGAGGCGAAATATGAAGCGATCCTGAAAGCATTATCGAGGAAGTTCAAAACCACTTCTCTTGGCGATGTGCGGCAGTACCTGGGCATACAGATGGAGCGGGAAAATGATGGAAGGTTTCTGCTCAACCAACAGTGCTACATCCAGCAGTTATTATCCCGATGGACCCCGGCTATCTTCAAGCAAAGAAGGAGGAGTCCAGCAAGCTACCAACGAATATTTCGTACTCCAATTTGGTTGGTGGTTTGCTCTACATAGCGATCAATACGAGGCCAGATGTAGCGATCAGCGTTTCGTTACTTGGGCGAAAGGTGAGTGCCCCGAATACAGCGGATTGGACTGAAGCAAAGCGCACTATGCGGTATCTCCTATTGGGCCGTGATATATTTGACGAATCCATCCTCCATCGGGGTTTTCGCACTCTTGGCGTCACCGAGGCCGAATCTCTCAGCAACTCGGTCTATGTAGCTTTACAGCGAAATGCCGTACTTACCATCTTCCTTCTTGATTTCCATCCCTAGGAAATAGTTCACATCTCCTAGGTTGGTCATCTCGAACTCCTTACTCAGGGCCGCATAGATCTTTTCGATCTCCGTCTCGCTTTCGCAGCCGATCAAAATATCGTCGACGTAGACAAGCAAGTATACGCGCTTTCCGTTTACAACCTTCGTGTAAAGACACGGATCAGCCTGGCTTTGCTTGAAATTCAGGACTTCGAGAACGGCGTGCTGACAGTGATTCCAGCAACGAGCCGACTGTTTCAGCCCGTAAATACTCCTTTTCAACTTGCACACTTGCTTCTCCTTACCTTTAATCTCAAAACCGGTTGGTTGCCGCATGTATATCTCCTCTTCCAGCCTTCCGTATAGATACGCAGTCTTCACATCAAAATGCTTAAATAACAAGCTCCGTTTGGTCCCGATCGCCAGAAGTGTCCGCAAAGTGGTCTGCTTTATAACAGGTGCGAAGACCTCGTCATAGTCTTGACCATACTTTTGACAACAACCTTGGGCGACCAAACGAGCCTTATACTTAATAGCTTCTCCAGCAGCATTTCGTTTTATCTTGTAAACCCATTTGCACCCTACTGGCTTTCGCCCAGCAGGGGGGTTTACCAACTCCCACGTTTCGTTGTCTTCGTGAGATCGCAGCTCGTCAGTCATGGCTTTTCTCCACTCAGCACCCTTCGCACAGCTCAAAGCTTCCTGAAGCGTTCTCGGCTCCATCTCCTCCTCTAGGGGAAGTGTGCCTGCCACGAAAATCTCTTCGATCAGACGACGTGGTGCTACGTCCTTCGATGACCTCAAAGACCGCCTAGCGATTTCATCCAACGGGAAACCATGGAACGATGAATCACCGTTAGACGCAATCGTATATTGCGAACTGTCCAACTCTTCTGGATCCGCTTCCTCTTCACTATCACTACTTTCAACAGCTTCGGGTATAGTAACCTCTTCGATCTTCTTCCCCTCAAGCGATATAATAACCTCTTCACTCACTTTTTCAGGAAACAGAAACGGTTCTTCTTCGGGAACTTCCTGCCGGCACCCGTGGGGCACCTCTTCTTCACGCACTTCCACAAATTTCGCATCACGGCTGATCAGAATCGTATCGTTCTCGAGATTCAAGAAACGGTATGCCTTGCGACCCTCTGCGTATCCAACGAAGACCAACTTCACTGCTTTCGGATCCAGCTTTCTTCGCCTCTTCTTTGGCACATGCACGTATGCCTCCGAACCAAAAATACGCAAATGAACATACGACGGCTTCTTGCCGTTCATACGGTGTCTTCTCAATGACAGACGACGGAAGACGATTCTGCAGGTAGTTCGCCGTGTTCAACGCTTCACCCCAATGCTTCTTCTCCAATCCTGCCTCCAGAAGCAAACACCGGACCATTTGCACCTCATACTGGTTCTTCCTCTCCGCTTTGCCGTTCTGCTGCGGCGAATAGGGTGCCGTTTGCTGCAGAATGATGCCTTTCTCAGCAAGAAACTTCTTGAACGACGTACTTGAATATTCTCATCCTCCATCCGTGCGGATCACCCGAGGAAAACGTCCGAACTGGTTCTGCACCATACTGCAATATTCGCGCACTTTCGAATCCACTTCTAACTTCGCCTTCAACAGGTACACTACAGTGTAACCGCTGAAATCATCCACCATAGTAACGTAGAATCGGTTGCCGCTGGGTGTGGCAACTTCCATCGGACCACCAACGTCCGAGTGCACCAGATCTCCAACCGCTGATGACTTGCTCTGGGACTGCTTCGGAATCGAAATCCGACACATCTTCCCTTTCAAGCAAACTCCACACACGCAATCTACAGTACACTTCTGCAATTTCAGGCCGAAACCCAAATCGTGTCGCACTATCTTCGCAATAGCCTCCGGATCGCGATGACCCAGCCTACGATGCCACACAATTCAGGATGCTTCACAGTGGTCGCCAATGCTTGCTCTGGAAACTGCTTCAACCGATATAACCCTCCATTCCTCTCGCCTACCAGTACTTGTAGGACTCGACAACCAGACTTCTCGAATACGACACTGTATCCAAGATCGCAAATCTTACCTACGGACAGTAAATTACCTGCGAGGGAAGGCGCATGGTACACATCGTTGAGCGTGACGTTCATCCGGATTCCACTTCCAGTTAGCGACACAACTTTTCCGGTTCCAGAACCACCGGACCTGATGCGTGTACCATCGGCCAAACAGATCTCAACACTTTTACTACGGTCCACATTGTTCAACATGTTCACGTCACTCGTCATGTGCGGCGTCGCTCCGGAATCCAAATACCACTTTCCAGCATCACACGGAGTCGCAACCACCAGACACATTTCCATCACACCACTAGAAACTTCTGCCACTATGTTCGCTTTTCCAGCATCGTTCTTCTGCTTTTGCGACTTTTCCTTCGCAAGCTTCGGACAATCGCGCCGAAAATGTCCGGGTTGGTGACAATTATGGCAAATGACTTCTTTCTTCTTCTTTTAGAATTTGCTTTTACCACTCACCATCTTCAGAGCCTTTTCCCTGCTCTCCACACCATCACCACACACTTGTCGACGTCGCCATTCTTCACGCAATTTGCTCTTCACGAACTCGACAGTCACTTCCACCTCTGGTCGGCTCTCAATCACGTTGATGAGGCTACCGTACGACATCGGAAGGCTTGAGAGAATCAACGCCATGAACACTCTGTCCTTTAGTCCTTCTCTCATCACTTCTAACTGGTTGTGCAACGTTGTCGTGTCATTCAGATGCTCCAACAGATTGCCCTCTTCAGACAACCGCATCGAACACAACTTCCGCAGTACGTGCAAAGTTGAAGAAAGAGACGACTCCTCATGAATTTTCTTCAATGAGTCCCACATCTCCTTCGCCGTCGTCTTCCTGATGATGTGCACCAGTTGCGAATCTTGCACAGCTAGCCCGATCATGGCACGAGCCTTTCCATCCTTCTAGATCCATTCGGCCGTTGGTTCAGCAGGCTTGGCTACCATCACAACAGAGGTCAGCTACTCCTTCACCAAGAAGAGCTCCATTTTGAACTTCCACACCGCGAAATTATTGTCATTCAACTTTTCGAACGATACTTTTACGTCCGCCATTTTGTTTCACACACGAACGCAACGCCACTACCGAACCGAAAAAAAAATGTCCTTGAGCTCCAAACGCGATTTCACCGGAAATGTTCCTGTCCTACAGCTTCCACGATACTGCTGGGCCATAACCTATTGGGCCGTGATATAATCAGTGGAAATAAGTATCCGAGGAATTACTGTTGTTAATTAAACACTTTATTAATTAACAACAATTAGCAACAACAATGCTCTCACTTGAATGGTGCTTTTACGAATGTAGAAAAAACAAGGTAGGCGGTGCTGTCGGTGTAGGTAGAAAGTATCATTCTTGACAGCACAGCTCTGATGGTAAGAGCATCTCGATCGTTGCTCCTACCAATATCTCCTAGCGACAAAGCATTTTCGATTGCATTTGGGCGGCAAGAATGTTGACCTGAAGGCTTACCTATGCGGATGCAGATTGGGCAGGCGATCATCGGGACCGTATATCCAATAGCGGTTTTCTGATTATGTTCGGTGGAGGTGCGATCAGTTGGGCGGCAGGGAGCCGGAAACTCAAATCCTGCTACTCGAGGACAACCAGAGTGCCATCCCACAGTTGGAGCCGGAGAAACTGGAACGTCGGTCCAAACACGTTGACACCAAGTTCCAGTTCACCAAGGATCTTGTTCAACAAGGCATGCTGTCC